TCCCCAGCCAGCCATTTGTGGACTTCGACTCCCAGAATTCCCCAGCCTGGCTAGGGAATTCTGGGAGTCAAAGGCCACAAATCTTAAAGTTTCCAAGGTTGAGAAACACTGCATTGTGGTGAACTAGGATAAACAAAACAGGCCCCCCAATAGTTCTCAGGAAACTCAACGCAACAAGTTTCAAATTCCCCTCTATACATATTTTCATTCTTTTCAAAGTATGTGTGAAGAATGTTGTGCAACAGGAATAAATATCTTCTGATATGAAGCCAATAAAAGGGACCACGTGTTAAATCAACTGGCACTTGGCCTCTAAGGAGAGAGGAGTCGCCAAGCGAAGAGTAAACACAGAATATTTCCACTGATCTTAAAGTGGCCAAGGTTGGGCACCCCTTGTGCAGGGGTGAAGGCATCAGGCTGGAAACTGGGGGACCAAGAGTTATAGTTCTGCCTAGGACACAAAGCCAGCTGGGTGACCTCGGGCCAGCCACCTTCTCTCAGCCCTAAGAAGGAGGCAACGGCAAACCGTTTCCAAAAAAAAATTTTGCCAAGAAAATTGACCAGTCCAGGGAGGGTCCAAGAACTGAGCCCAATATGGAACAGAAGGAGAGGGGGAAAAAAAACCTTAAAGACACGGTATCATTAGATCAGGGGTCTTAATTTAATTCAGTATTTAATTCAGTATTGCCTTGTTGCAAACTTTTTTTTTTTTAAAAAAATGAATGAATTGAATGAATGAATCTATTTAGTTAAGGCTATTGTAAGGTTTCCAAACTGAATTTAAAACTAGCAACCTCAGGCCTCCCGGATTGTTGTCAAGAGGTAGCTAGCAACTCTCATTTCAGGGGTGTGTGTCACGTCTTAAGGAACAAAGGTGAAGTTTTCAGAGAGGGATTTCTGTTTGAACAGCAAAACCCTCTCTAATACAGTACTCAAAAGAGCAGAAGAACCCTTTAATTTATAAACTGAGCTTGTATATATCAGGTTTACCTCACCATCTAAAAATTAAGCTCATCCTGATCCTTTTCGTTTTATAAGAAGGCCTCCAGGGCTCTACATTAAGACCAGGCGTTACATATAATCATAACTAAATATAATATTTGAGGCAAATGCTTCGCAGCAAAATCAGTTGTCCATATTGTTATTAGAAGAAAGACACTCCTCGACTTACGACCACAACTGGGCCCAAAATTTATGTTGCTAAACGAGACGGTTGTTAAGTGAATTTTGCCCCATTTTACAACCTTTCTTGCCTCTGTTGTTATGGGAATCACTGCAGTTGTTAAGTTAATAACCCGATTGTTAAGTGAATCTGGCTTCCCCATGGACTTGTCAGAAGGTTGCAACAGGGGATGACATAACCCTGGGACATTGCAACCGTCATAACTGTGACTCAGTTGCCAAGCATCTGAATTTTGATCATGGGAGCACAGGGACGCCGCAACGGTCATAAGTATGAAACATGGTCATCAGTCGCTTTTTTTCAGTGCCGCTGTAACTTCAAACGGTCACTTACACTGCTGTAAGTTGAGCACTACCTATAAAGTAAAATTCCATGTATTATTTTTAAATCTTATGGGCCAGACTCCGTATTGTAAAGGTGACCAGAAAGGCAAGCCCTGGCATTATTTTTCCAATGCCTGGAATGGAATGGAATGGAATGGAATGGAATGGAATAAAGAATAGAGTAGAGTAGAGTAGAGCAGAGCAGAGCAGAGCAGAGCAGAGCAGAGTAGAACAGCAGAGTTGGAAGGGACCTTGGAGGTCTTCTAGTCCAACCCCCTGCTTAGGCAGGAAACCTTACACCACTTCAGACAAATGCTTATCCAACATATTTTTTAAAAACTTCCAGTGTTGGAGCATTCACAACTTCTGGAGGCAAGTTGTGCCACTGATTCATTGTTCTAACTGTCAGGAAATATCTCCTTATTTCTAGGTTGCTTCTCTCCTTGAGTAGTTTCCATCCACTGCTTCTTGTCTTGCCTTCAGGTGCTTTTGGGAATAGGTTGACTCCCATTTCTTTGTGGCAGCCTCTGAGATATTGGAAGACTGCTATCATGTCTCCCCTTGTGTGCGTTATTATTTCATCCAGGCGAGCGTGTGAAAAATAAAATCAAATTGCCACCTCTGCTCTTTGTTTACACTTTCACAAATGAAGGTGCAGAGTGGACTTCTGTCAAGTTGGCCTCTTCACAACAGCGGCTTGATCCAACTTGAACGAGAGGCCAAAGTCCTCAAGACCATTCAAAAGGTTATTTTGCCGTCTTCTATGGTATTTACCCAGAGGGATTTATGCCAGTTTTTTCGTCCCTGGGCTCAAGGCCGAGCCAAGATCTGTGTTTACCCAGCAAAACTCAGAGCAGTCGCTGTGAAATAGGGTTGGCTAAGAGAAGACATCCTGTTCAGGTATGCATGATGCAACAGAGAAATGGTGTAGAGCAGTGTTAGCAGTCTTCCAAGATCTCAGGGGCTGCCCCAAAGAAGAGGGAGTCAAGCTATTCTTCAAAGCACTTGAAGGCAGGACAAGAAGCAATGGGTAGAAACTCATCAAGGAGAGAAGCAACCTAGAACTAAGGAGAAATTTTCTGACAGTCAGAACAATTCACCAGTGGAAAGCCTTCACAGGTTGTGGGAGCTACATCCCTGGAAGCTTTCAAGAAGAGACTGGACTGCCGTCTGTCAGAAATGGTGTAGGGTCTCCTGCTTGGTGGGGTGGGGTTGGACTAGAAGACCTCCAAGGTCCCTTCCCACTCTGTTATTCTATCTTGTTTCCCTCAGCCTTGGCAACGTGGAGATGTGTGGACTTTAAGTCCCAGAATTCCCCACGGCTGGCTGGGGAATTCTAGGAGTTGAAGTCCATACATCTTCATATCGCCAAGGTTGAAGAGCATGGTTGACGAAACATTTGACTCCTCCAGATGCTTCATGCCAGAAGGTGTGTGAGTTGAGTGCAACAAGGAAGGGTTTCTGTAAAAAAATACTTTCACCCTGTTGCACTTTTCATGCCCGCTGCGTAGGAGTGAGTGGTTTAAGAACAACTTTATGGCCGCACAAAGAGTAGGAAGAGTTGATGGAAATCCCCAGCTCCTTTCAGGCTTGCTATTTTAAGAGGAATTGTAATATTAAATGCTTGTTCCCAGATTTGGAACTATATTTCCTAAAATTATAAGGGTTTGCAAGATCAGCTTTGTAGCTATAAACTCTAGGAACTGCAGTGCTATCTTACCTGAAGCTGGGAGGAATCAGATTACATTAAATCCGTTTTGCTAACTCTGTTTGTGTTTATACCTATTGCAACCTTTGTATTCTTCCTTAATTTACGTAAACTGTTTTCATTTTAAAGCTGTTAATTTTCTTTTAAAAACATATCAGGTCACAGATGTATCTGTGTGGATATTTCCATGTGTGTGGTTTTTTTTCACCCTGTAAAGAATTACGTTTAAAGTAACACGATAGTTCTTTGCTTCAAAAGCATACTTTGCAAGTTTTTAATTTTTATTTTAAAAAAAAACAATCAGGAAATACGTATTCTGAAATAGGCTGGTAAAAAATTAATCTGACGTCCCTTGCAACTTCCTACTGTTGGAAAGATTTTAATCACACTCGGATTGAGGTTCATCCTGGCTTCTTGCTAAGTACGTGAGCAAGTTGACAAACCAGATTCAGAAAATATCCTTCCTCTGCGGAGTCAGCATTGTCTGTTTATTATTGCACTTAAGCTTAAGATTAATTAGTTAGGAGAAACACAGACTGTCTTAACCAAAGCCAACACTTGGGGCAAACTTTTGTGGGAATAGGTCATGGGAAAACAACGGACTTAATTCCTGAAAATGAGTTTATTTTAATTTATATGCACTGATCTGTTGTTTAGTAATCACGTGCCTGTCGCAAATGGATATATATACAAATGGAAAGCATGCATAGATAGATAGATAGATAGATAGATAGATAGATAGATAGATAGATAGATAGATAGATAGATAGATAGATAGATAGATAGATTTGTTTTCTTAAGTTTTTGCGGGTACTTACATGTATGGCATTCAGCTTTGTTCATCAGAAGCCTGATGATGGCAGATGAGATTCTGCCGAAACGTTGCTACAACTTTAAAAGCACAACTACAATGACGTGGGAAAATACCCGATTTTGCCTCATGCCATCTTGTAGGGCTGGATATCACATTTTGGGGTGATTGTAATGAAAAGCAGGCCACCCAATTTATAAATACATAAATGTCAAAACACGAAGCAATGTTTTTTTTTTCCTGAGTCTAAAACCATTTTTTAGCAAGCTTGAAAGGCCCTTGGGTCAAAAGTCTACAAGTGTTTTTAAAGGTTAAATGACAGAGGGATGAATAGCTAGAATTTTGTGTTAATTTAAGGAAAGACTTTAACTCTGTCTCTCGTTTTATTTTTGTTGTTGTTGTTGCTCCGCAGAATGTTATGGAACAATTCAATCCGGGGCTGCGGAATTTAATAAACCTGGGGAAAAACTATGAAAAAGCCGTTAACGGTAAGTCTCCATTACACGTTTAAGTTGTCTAGTCAAACTTTTTAATTTTGCCGTTTGAAAATCCAATAGCTGCCTTGCAGTGAAATACAGGTACTCCTTGACTTATGACCACAATTGAGCCAAAGATTTCTGTTGCAAAGTGAGACAGCTGTTAAGTGAGTTTTGTCCCATTTTACGACCTTTCTTGCAGTCGTTAAGGGATTCCCTGCAGTTGTTCAAAAAGTCATACAGTTAAGTGAATCTGGCTTCCCCCATTGACTTGGCTCATCAGAAAGCCTCAAAAGGAGATCACGTGACCCCAGGACACTATGTGATGACCCAAAGGGGTGTGGCACAAAGGCAACACAGTCACATAAGCAAGAAGAATCCCTTTATTAGCTCTAATTTTGCCCCCAATGTCCAGGTTACCTTCGGCTGGAGAAAAAACTCTCCCAGGAATAGCCTTTGGGTGCAGAAAATTAAGTCCCAAACAAGGTACACACAAACTATAACTTAAAATCCAAACAAACCAAGCTGAAAGTAATTAGCTTGACAGGGCAGGAGAAGGAATTTTAGACTTGAAAGCACAGCAAAACTCACACAGTTGGGAAGATGCCAGGAACACAAATAAGCCACGATGATACAAAATAAAGTCACATTTGCTCCCAGCAGCCTGGCGCATGCAGCCTGCCTTATCAACTGTCTTCCCAGCTGTGGCTAATGAAAGGAATCAGGGCCCTTTCCTCCCCCGTAAGCCATGCAACCTACGTTCTTCCCCATTCCTCCCTGCGTACCCTAGGATGAAGGGGGTGGGCCTGGGTCTTCCTCTCCCTTGTTTTACCTCTTCCCTGCTCTGCCCAGCCAGACTTTGCCCTTCCCCAGTTTCTTCCACAGCCAACGGAGCCACACTCCCACTCCCTGTCAGCTGTTCTGCCTCCCTCTCCAAACCAGATTCTGACGGACATGACACACTGCAACTGTCATAAATATGAATCGGTTGCCAATTATCTGAATTTTGATCATGTAACCATCAAGATGCTGCAACGGCCGTAAGTGTGAAACACGGTCATAAGTCCCCTTTGTTCGTGGCTTAGTGACTGTTCAAAGTCACCACGGCACTGGAAAAAAAAGTCCCCTCTGTTCGGTGCCGTTGTAACTTCGGGCGCTAAAAGAACTGTTGCAGGATTACCTGTATCCCCCCCTTCCCCAAAATACCTACTAACTACTGATATAATTAACTGCTACTCCTAGGAACCAGGCTAAAGATCCAGATACTTTTAAGCGTTTATCTTACGTTCTCCCTCTTTTCTCAGTACAACCTGATTTTACTTTTCGGAATCTTCTCTTCCCTGAATTTATAATCCAGGGGTTTCTTTGGATCAAACGATTTGGACAAGCTCCCCAAGGCTGCTGGGGAAGAAAAGAACGGGGCAAATTAGACTGAATTAGGTTTTTGGCCAGGGATCTGTCCACTACCCATTCCAAGTCAGAAAGATCTCATTTTTATACATTTTTATTCACGACAGAGAAGCAGTCCTTGAATTACCAACACAATTTGAGCCCCCAAATTTCCATTGCTTTGCGTTTTAACTTTTTTTCCCCATGGTTGTTAAGCGAATCATTGCAGTTGGTAAGTGAAACACACCATCGTTAAATCAATCCAGCTGCGCCCCCCCCCCCCCTCATTGATGGAAGCCAACTGGGAAGGTTAAAAATGACTCGGGTCATAAATAAATACTAGTTGCCAAGCGCCCGAATTTTGATGACATGACCCTGGGGATGTTTCACCGGTCCTATGTGTGAAAACTGGTCATAAGTCACTTTCAGTGCTGTTGTAACTGTGAATAGTCACTAAACAAAATCACTGTAAATCGAGGACTATCTGTGGGTAAACGCCTGCAGAAATCAGTCATTTGGGATAAACACTTAAGAATGCTTTTCTTAGATAGGGGAAATATTAGAACATAATTTTTTATAGAATCAGAGGTGGGTATTCAGCCGGTTCTGACCAGTTCTGGAGAACCGGTAGTGGAAATTTTGAGTAGTTCAGAGAACCAGCAAATCCCACCTCTGACTGGAGATTTTTCAGTATCCTTCCCCTGCCATGCCCACCAAGCCATGCCCACGGAACCGGTTGTAAAATTTTTTGAATCCCACCACTGTATAGAATGAATAAAAATAATAGATAGAAAGACTAGAAGTTTACAGATGTTAGGCATTTTTTAATAATATAATGAGAATTACTTAAATTGGATAAATTGTGATAGAGATTACCAATATTGTTAGCGTGAATTGGATCAATACGAATGATACCTAGAATCAATTTTGTTTGTGTATAGTAGAGAAATGTTTAGATTGAACAAGAAAGACATGGATGAAGATAGAAATAAAGTTGAGGAGTTAGGCACTTTTTGCTCATGTATGTTTAAACAATATAATGAGGATTACTTAAATTTGACCAATATGATAGAGATTACTAATATAGTTGTGATGAATTGGATTAATAATAATGATGCCCAGAACCAACTCTTTTCAAACACAATATGGATGTATATTTAAAAAAATAATAATGAGAAAAAAAAGTTTTTTTAAAAAAATGTTTTTCTAAACGAGGAACACACGAATGGTCATATTTTGAGATTGAAAGCTCAACCATCTTGGCGGATTTCCTCGTTCCATCCATAAATATTTGCTCTACTACTCTCTACCATCATCCAGTAGAGTTTTTATGAGGCTTGTTAAAAAAAAAAAATCAACTGGTCATCTGAGAAAAGCATCCAGGTGACCAGCTATGAAATGTTAGCAAAAGCCTTTCCCCACCACCACCACCCTGTAGGATCGGAAAACCTTGACGCATCAGCAGCTGAAGAAATTTTAGCTGGATGAGCCTTGTTGCAAAGGGTCAGCTTGCTGACCTCAAGATGAGTCATTGCTGATCTTATTGGAATCTTATTTTTTTATTGTCAGGGATCCAAAGTCGTTCTGCAGTCACTTTTAAATAAACAAAAGCAAACCAGGGCCACCCGTTTCCCCAAAAATCAAAACAGTAGTCAGACACATGTTGGAGATGTCTGAGAAAGCCCAACAGGTACCCTTCTCGTGCAAACCAGGCCCACTGCAGCAGTGGGAGGGGGCTTTTATTGATGTTGAAATTGGGCCTGTATGTTCCTCTTGGCTTCTAAGTGCTCACTAAGAAAGGGTTTTTCGAAATGACCATCAGAGCATCAGTATTTCATATATTATTATTATTATTATTATTATTATTATTATTATTATTATTATTATTATTAACACACTCTGATGCTAAGGAGTTCTACTCCCCCTCCCCACCTGAAAAGAAATCAGTTCCAAATGCAAAACACAAGCAGAGGAGAGGAATTTCAGTTTTATTTTCACAGCAAGCAACCAGCTTTAGTACAGAACAGTTGAGCTAAGCCACGCCCAGGTTCCTTGCTGTCTCCTCCTTGCTCACACAGCAAATACCGTTTCAGTTTCCAAACAGCCCTCAGCTCTCTCACACACTGCCAGGACGCTAGCCAGATGAATACCGATGGATGCTGGTAGGCAGAGGCAGAATTTTTTCCCCCTTATTTTCCTCCCTCAAAACTAAGCCCGGTCACATCGTTTCGTAGCGAAGCCTGGGTATCGAGCTGGTTTTATATATAATTGAAGGCAGTGAACATATATAATACGCCTTCTTCCTATTTTTCCCCACAACAAGCCTGCGAAGTGGGTTGGGCTGAGAGAATCAATGGCCCGAAGTCACCCAGATGACTTTCATACCTAAGGTAGAAATAGAACTCACCATCTCCTGGGGATTGGCCCAAAGTCACCCAGACAACTTTCATGTCTAAGGCGGGACTATAACTCAGCATCTCCTGGTGATTGCCACAGAGTCACCCAGCTGGCCTTCATGTCTAAGGCGGGACTAGAACTCACAATCTCCTGGTTTCTAGGCCAGCATCTTAACCACTCTAGTAGATCCCTAAACTTTTGCTGGTTTGACTTGTTTTGAAGCTTATTTCTGCTCTGCTCATGAGACCAAGAATTAGATCCAACAGTTAGATTCCAATTTCTCTTTTTATTTGGAATCCATTTGCTCCACAAGGGGCTGCAGGAAAAAGGAGGAAGGGGTGGGTAGGTGGGGGAAATCCCACTTCCTGGCTGATCACTGAAGTTAGCCCACTTTGGCATCGTATCAAAAGACGGACTATTCCTAAAGACGATGGTCTTGTTTGGGACACGCGTAATTTTAGATTATCCTTTTTTTGCAATTCAGGACTTTAAAGGCAACTTGTCAGATGTTACATACGTGGGCTCTCCTCCAGTCGGCCTGCGAGACATATTTTTCCATTCAAGTAGCTTTTTTTGGAAAGTAGCAAATTAAAACCTGATGGAGGCGGATGAAAGAAGCCTTGGAAATCTCCATTTACATCCATTAATTTAACAATGTGCTTTGTTGAAAGAAAGCCCTGCCAATTGCATTATTTAACTGTAATGCAGGGTATTTATGCATCCTATGCAAATAAATTATCTGTACGCCTTCGGCTATTTGGTAAGACATCCATAGCAGTCTGAACGGTCTCGACTAGAGTCCTCAACTTGTGACCGCAATTGGAATGGTCATAAAGCGAATTGTCACATGCCTGGGCCAAATTTTATGGCCATTTTAACACCGGTTTTTACAGTGGTGGGATTCAAATAATTTAACCACCGGTTCTCTGCCCTAATGATTTCTTCCAACAAGCAGTTCAACAAACTGCTCAGAAAGTTAACAACCAGTTTTCCCCGAACTGGTGCGAACTGGCTGAAACCCACCACTGGGTTTTTAATCTCTACAGTCGCTAAGCCAATCACGTGACACTTAAGCGAACCTAACTTCCCCAACTTACTTGTTTTGTCAGCATCTGGCTCGGAAGATTAAGGCTAGAAGAGCAGAATTATCCTTGTAATTATTGTTGCAGAATTATTCTTGCCATAGAAATGGCAACTGGATAACTGCAGGACGCAGGAAGCAGTTACAAATGTGAGCCAGGTGCCCAAACCCACAAATTGCAATCACGTGAACCACCAAGTTGATCTGCTGGTTGTCAGGTCATAAATCATTTTTCCCCCAAGGCCATCATGACTTCGAAACCGTCCTTCAGTGAACGGCTGTAATTCGATGTCCATCTGCATTTCTCTCGCAGCGAGAGTAACTTTGGGATGGTGTATGAAATGTGTATGAATCTGCTTTTGATCACGTGGCTGTGCGGGATGCTCAATTGGTAATGTGAGGTTCAGTTGTAAGTCAGGGTTTTTTCGGTGCCGTTGTAACTTTGAATGGCCACCAAACGAGGGGCTGTAAGTCAGGGACTACCTATAGCAGTGGTTGCCAACCAATGGGCCGGGGACCACTGGTGGTCCACAAGAAAATTTTGGTCGTCCACAGAGAAATGTCCCCCCCAAAGCAATTAATCCAGGCTGCACCGCCCACATGGCCTGCCCACCTACTGGCCCCCACCCTTCAGCCGAGCAGAAACCTTACCTTGAGTAGTCACACAAGCTGGAACTGGAAGGTGAGACCAGGGAAGGGAAATCCGCCCCGGGGTGGCCTGTTGGTGGGAAAGTCGGTGCCATATTCCAGAGCTGCAGCAGTCACAGGACTGGCCCTTTGGTCATCCCAGAGCAGCTCCTCCAATCCATGGCAGGCCGGTGCACCCAGGTGGAGGAGCAGCTGCTCCAGGATGACCAAATAGCCAGTCCTGTGACTAGTGCAGCTCTGGAATATGGCACCGACTTTCCCAGCGACGTCAGCAAGCCACCGTCAGTCAAAATTCATATCAGTGGTCAGTCAAATTTCATATCAGTGGTCCAAGTGGGATTTAAAATTATGAGTTTGGTGGTCCCTGAGGTCCAAAAGGTTGGTGACCCCTGACCTATAGAACCTTCCCTCTGTCCAGCTTATCTCTCAGGGTTATTGATGGCAGACCCAATAAGAGGAACTAACAAGGCAAGATATGATTCTAATAAATTAACATCATGTGCAGTCGTGATATGGAAATAATGAACAGAGGAAAACCAAGTTGTACTCTGGCTTCATTCAAACATTGAACTGGTTTCAGCTTCAATGTGAAGCAGAACTAGACCCTTCGTCCAGAAAGATTAAAATCTCCACTCTGGCTGAATAAGAAAATTATAGACTTCCTACTCCGTGGGAGCCGTTTCTCGTAAATGTTTAAAAAATACCCGTTGCTTAGCAAACACGACAGCGTCCAATTGGTTTGTTCTCCATTCCAGAACGAGGGCAAAGGGAGTGCTAGGATTGTAAACTGGGTTAAATTCCTTCCATCTTAACCAACTTGAAGCTTTGATTTCGAGTGACTTAAATGAGGGAAGGAAGCCCATTTCAAGGGCTGAATAACTCACCATTTAATTCTGGGTCAAATATTCTGCAGGCAGCCCTTGATTTTATTGTATGTCAGGCTGGCTAAGGGAATTCTGGGAATTACAGTCCACCCATTTTCAAGTTCCCAAGTTTGGGGGAACTAGTTGTAGACCAAGTGGGATGTAACTTCAGAAGGCAGCTTCAATTTGATATTCAAGAGAATAGATGACCACTCCGTCCCTATCTGGGGAAGGCTGGCTCGTCTATATTATTTTATTTTCTCCCTTTCAATTATGTCTCTGCAGTTTTCTTGGCAAGGTTTTTTCAGAAGTGGTTTGCCAGTGCCTCCCTCCTAGGGCTGACTGAGAGTAGCTGGCCCAAAGCCACCCAATCAGCTTTCATGCCTAAGGCAGTACTGGAACTCACAACCTCCTGGTGACTGGCCCAAAATCATCCAGCTGTCTTTTATGCCTGAGGTGGGACTAGAACTCACAACCTCCTGGTGATTGACCCAAGGCCTCCCAACTGGTTTCATGCCTAAGGCAAAAGTAGAACTCACCATCTCCTAGTTTTTTAGCCTGATGACTTAGGCACGACGACAAAGTGGCTCTCGTAAGATATTTAATGGATGGTTAAATCCATTGCCTTCAAGAATAATTATCAGCTTTTTCTCTTTTTGCCTCCTCTTCTTTTTTTTAATTAGGTATGGTCCTTGCTGGAAGAGCTTACTATGATGGCATTGCAAAAATAGGCGATATTGCTGTTGCATCGCCCGTGTCTAAAGAGTTGGGTAAGTACACCAAATAAATCAGATACATCGCAGGATCCTTGACACTGAACTAATCTTGCCGTTTTAACGCTTGACTGGAACTGGCAACGTCTAGTCCAGGGGTGTCCAACCTTGGCAACTTTAAGACTTGTGGACTTCAACTCCCAGAATTCCTCAGCCAGCAAAGCTGGCTGAG